GCGGGGAGGGCTGCAGTCCTGCCCTGACCTCTCTCGGCCTCGTGCGCGGGCTTCAGTTTCCCCGCCAGTCTCATGGAACAGCTTCTGTCCTCCTAGGCGCTGTGGGTCGTTTGCACATCAGTGTAGCTACGAGACCTCTTGGATCACACTTTTGTTTCCCTCTCTTTCTGACCCTTAATTTCCAGTGCATCCTTCCTGCTTGGAGCAAGCACTTTATGTGGCCGCAGCAAAGGGGTTGCTTCGTCTGGGGACGTTTGCTTATGGTACATCATCAAAGCAGTCTAGGGTAGTTTACCTATATAGACAGTTTCTTTTTCTATAGTTTAACTTGGATGAAAATTTCTCTGGCTTCCGAAATGTTCATTCGTCCCCGTACTTTACGTCCCAACTCGCCACCTGGTTTTGGAGCTAGGTGACGTAATATTTCCCTCTTGATTCTTGATGCCATACATTCTTGAATGGTAAGGAAGTGCCAACATTTAATAATATGTCTTGGGCCAGGGATTTAGCTCCGTGGTTCCGCCTGCCTCGCAAGGTCCCGAGTTCGATCCCCGGTACCAATAAGTAAATTAAAAATTAAAAGATATATGTCTATGGTAACTTACTGATAAAGAAGGTAGTATAATTATATGTTTTTCCAGGTTTATAAAAAAATGTTTACAGGAGAAAAGGCAAAAGCGAACAAGAACTAACGATTTGACAATTTAAAACACGTAAACATAGTCATTTAAATATTAAGAAAATAATCTTTTAAAACAGCTTAGTGATTTACTGTCATATTTAATAAACAGCTGTAGTTTTTAATTACCTGATAGGGACCATACTCTACTGAGATGATTACCTTAAGCATACTCATTACTTGAAGTGTTTGAGTATACCTAAAGGCACGATTTCAGAGGTCTAACTTCAAAAAGGAGACGGAAAATGTCTGGAATTCGAGAGAATTGTTTTCCTTCCGTCTTTCACTTTCTTTCCTCAACACTTCTGCATGTTTGCCTACACTTAAAAAATGGTCAGCCTTGTACTTCAGAGCCTGTGGGGCAATGCCTGGAATCCCAGCGCTGAGGGAGGCTGAGGGGAGAGGAGCACATTCAATCCCACAGGGCAATTTAGCGACACCCCAGTCTCAAAGGCTGAGTGAGGGTGTAGATTTAGTGGTTGAGGGCCCCTGGGTTTTATCTCCACTATTGGGGGGAAACCGTGGAACTTTCGTGGAACTGGGCTGGTCAATTTTTGTTTTAAACATGTTTTACTTTGTAGCTTTTATATCATCACTTGTGGTTTGAAATAAGGTTATTTAGTATCTACATTGCCTTTCTAATAGCAACAACTTAGCAGACTTTGAAACAGATTCTGGGGTTTAGCCAACTGACTCAGCTACAGTGTATGTTGTTTTTATGTTCAAGTACTGTATTCAAAGTAGCCTACTTAATTTTTAGGGTTAATACTTGGATGGCAGAGATGTGAACCATTTAGATAATAACAAGTGCAGGTGTTGTTTGCTGTGGGAATTTAGTGGATTTTTTCCTTTTAGGTGATTTTTCTGCTGATGTTTCTAACATGTTAGCATTTCAGGCTGTAGGTCCCTATTAATTATGAGGCCTCAGCTGTGACATTCTGACCCCATGGCAACAGAAGATTCCCTGATTCTCCAGAGAGATTACCCACTTTTATGACAAAAATTACTGTAAGCTTATTTACCTTGAAACTTCCTTTAACTTCTTGCTCAAATAAGAAAATGGCCAATTTTAATCATAAGCTTTGGTCCTCTAGCACTTAATTGTATCCTGTATTACATAAGGTAATGAGCTCTGGCGAAGCTCAGTTTTCTGTTTTCTTACTTGATCTTTATTATTAAGGTTGTTAGCTGTTATCTCTGGGGGAATGAGGTGTTTTTTGTTGTTTTGTTTTTTTTAAATCTGTTACTGTAATAAAATAGGATGGGATTTGCAACAAAATAGTTCTGATTAATGAAAGCTATAGAACATGAATTAAGTTCTAATACTCAAAATGTTGAAGAGCTAGTAGAGAATTTAAACAGATTTTAATCTTTAAGGCAAGTAAGTTTAATTTGTATGTGAACTTACAGATTTCATATTTATATTCTATTTTTTTAATTCTCTGACTTCCAGCCTTAGTTAACAATATTTTTCACTGTTTGAAGGACAATACTTTTCAGGATGAATCACCAACCTTTCCTGGGAAGAAATGTGGAAGTGTAAAGCATAATTTGGATATTATAATTCTGGGGATTTAGCTCAGTGGTGCCACTGCCTGCCTCATAATTTGGATATTACACTTAATGTTTGTGTATTTTAAAAATGTCAATGGATAAAGAATGTGGACATAAATAATAGAAGCTGATGATATAACTAGCTCAATAGCAGAATGTTTTCCTGGCATAGGCAAGACCTTGGCTTCAGTCCCTATCACTCAAAAATTAAAAACAGTAGTAGCATTTATTTAGGGACTTCCTAATTCCCTTGTGTGGAGTGCTTTGGTCTGCAGACACTGCAGGCTGCCAAGTCATCGTGAGGAATTTCAGTCTCCTGTTTGCTGAGCTGTGTTGGGATTGTGGCTTATTTGCAGAAGTTCTTTGTTTAAGTCATCCTTGATCAAGATGTTTGTTCTGGGATGGCGACATTGCTTTTATGGTTGCTCCCTGCCTGAAGTTTGTTCCCCTGATAGTGATCGGAATGTGCTATAGTCGTGATCTTGTAACTTCTTGTTTCTGTCGAGTTAATATAGTTAGCAGGATATATAAAGGAAGGTTTTTTGTAAAAGCTTTAGACCTTCTCCCAAGATAATAAAGAAGCTTCAGAAGGATCCTGAGTGTTGCGTGCTTTCTTGCTGGCAAGCGGCTCGCGACACCCTTGTCATTGTTCTGTTCTCAGAGTGCACTATATGAAGTACTATTTCTATTGTCCTTGTTTTACAAATTAGGAAATTATGGTAGAGATTTTAAAGCAACCAAGAATCAGAAGAAGGGTTTGAATTTAGTCTAACTGAAGAGTATGAGCTCTTGTCCATTACTTTATAATTCTTGTATACTTATCTACTTGCTTTGTAACTATAGAATCTAGGTAAGATTCCTTGTTCTTTTGCCTGAATATCAATTCGCATAATAATTTTAATGTTTTTTTTATTCACAAATTTGGGTGGATTCCAATTACACTTTCATTACACTTTCTGAATGAGCTCACAAGATGATCTCATTATATTTACACTTAGTTGGCCCTTAACATAGATGTACTAATTTTCAAGAGAAAAAATGGTGTTATCAGAGTGAGGCTTATAGCAGGACTAAGGTTCTCAATAGTGCTATTCTCAAGAAAGTGATTATTAACGTTCACTTGTAGGTTCATTCATACAAGGAACTAAAATTTGAGTATTGATAAGCATTGGAAATAAAACATCAGGTATTCAGCGCTATGAAGAAAAAGCCGGATGAGAGGCCAGGGAAGGAGGAGGTGCTCTTTCAATTCAGAGGGTCAGGAGAGGCTGTTCTCACTAATATTTATGTAGAGAAATCATCGAGATGAGCGACCAGGTGACTTTGAGAAGAGCTTTCTAGGCAGAAGGAAAGGCCAGTATAAACATTCTCTAGTAGGGCTTGCTGGCATCTTCCAGGAACAGCAAGGGGAACTGTGGCTGGCATAACAGGAGGGGAGGTTGGAAAAGGAGGTCAGCTAGGTTCACATGAATGCCCACGGGCCATACTAATGCACATGGGTTATATTTTAAGTGTGCTGGGGAGCCACCGGGCAGTTCGGAGCAAGGGCCATGATCTGTTTCTAAAGGGTCGCTGTGCTATTGAAGAATGGACTGCTGTGTGCAGGGTGGGGAAACAGCAGGCTTTTGTAGTAGTCCTCCAAAGAAATGGAGGTGCCACAGATTCGGAGCCTGGAGGTTCTAAGGGTTACACTGAGCCTGTATGGTGGAGATGGGAGGATATTGGAGAAAAAGGAGTGGGTAAGACTTGAAACTTGGTGTCCAAATCACCTGGGTGAGTGGGTTTTGCACTTCAACCAAGAATGAGAGCAGAAAAAGAAGTGGAACCAGTTTAGAAAAACATCCAAGTGGAGATGTCAAGTAGGTGTTTAGGGGAGAGAATGTGGCTGAGATACAAATGCTGTGCCAGGAGATCACCTAGATGGGGCTGTCATAGTGTGAGCTTTGCTCCATCAGTGGGCCACAAGGTCCATTTAGTGGTTAACAACCAGCATTTTATAAGAAAGAAGCAGGGACTTAAAATAATTAGGTTAACCCCTGCAGTAGGCCATGTTGTCATGGGAGTTTTGTTTCCATTTTATTCAGAACATACAAACTTTTATATCAAGTGACATGATCAAAAGTATGAAATCCAGTAATCCAAGGGTGGCATGTAGGTTTGAGAAGAGGGTAAGGTGCTGAGTCAGGTCACGGAGAGGACTTAGGAATATCTAGTAGAACTTACCATCCTGAGAACGGTCAAATAACCCAGCCTTCAGAATAGAGATTTTTACCAAGAATTACTGAGACTAGCATTGTTGCATAAAATAACATGCCTTTCACTTCCATGAAATCATTGCTGCAATAAAATTCCATTGTGCTGCAATTTATGAAAGTCTTTATAAAATATTGGTGGTACTCTTTATATTTTTTTTAAAAAACCCTCTTGCTGAGTACTTTCAAAAGAGATCCCTGTATAAATTCAATTAATATTTGGTTTTAATGAAAAAATAATCACTAGCTAATACTCTGCTACATAACAGTTTCTAGTTTTTAATCATATAGTATATAACTTATCTATTATGTAATATTTAGCTGCAAAAATCTTAACTTGAATTTTGATCCCCGATTTTTCAATTCAACCTTTTATGTCCCCGCCCCCCAGCTTCTAAATAAGTATATTTAGCTAGATGTGGTGGTTGCACATCTGTAATCCCAGCACTTGGGAGGCTGAGGCTGGATCGCTGTGAGTCTGAGACCAACCTGAGCTATATGGTGAGTTTGAGGCCAGCCTGGGCCACATAGCAAGACCCAATCTCAAAAAAACAAAGCAACGACAACAACAAAAAAACCAATATGCTTATTTTTTATGTTTACTGTTCTGTATCTGTGTGTGTGCATGTGTGTGTTTTCACATGAACATGCGTGAAGTACACCAACAGTAGGTTTTACACTCACACAACTTAAACTCATTTCCCTTTTCAAATATGAAATGTATTTATCAAAGCCAAGCTCATTTATTAAATTGAGAATGCAAAAGTCAAAATGCCTAAATATTAAACCTGTGATTAATGCAACATTTAAACATATCTTTGAAGATTCCCAAGGAATGAAGCTAATGAAGCTTCAGTATTTTCTCTTGACCCATTTATTTCTTGGGAAAGCGTCTCTGCCTTTTGAAGAGCAGTGCTTGCAGTGAACTCTGTCCAGGTCCTGAAGTTGGCGGTTGGTCTGCAGCTTCTCACTTACTGGGCACCTTCCAAGGCAGAGAGTGAAAGGTGCTCCTTCTGTGGGGGTGGGGAGGAGCTAGGGGGCTCTCATACGGAAGCCCAGAGGCCCGGAAGTTGATTCCCTAGTTCCTGCCTGCTTAAAGTCCTAGCAAACAATAATGACCTAAGGGTTCAGGGTACACAGAGACGGAAGAAAAGGAAGAGGGATTTCTTCTATGATATTTACAGACATTGAGCAAAAATTATGTTCTTCTCTCTTGAAAAATTAAAGACACAGTGCAAGCCAAAAAGGATATCACATGTGTGCAGCATTAGTAAATACATATTCATTGCTTTTAAATTAGGTTAATACATTGCAGTGACAAATTGCCTGGGGGATAACTTATTTAAACTCCGGGATCATTGGGTAACATTTGTAATCTGCCAAGAAAAATACAGCAACATCTGTATTGAAAACAATATATATCAAGTATCAACAGTACTTTGCATTTTTATTAGGCCTGTCGCTAATTTTTAGATTGAACCATGGCAGTTCCTGCTGTACCATTTTGTGACGTTTAATACTAAGTGTTCCCAGTGAGAAGACTTTATAGAGAACTGGTAAAAGCCGGTTTTTACATTCTTATGTGCCTAGGAAAATGGCAATTCTACCTGTTTCTTCTCTATCTTAAGTGCTATAAAAGAGCATGACATTGTTTCATGTTTTAAAAAAGCATTAGCAGGACAGTTTCTTAATATTTTCTAAACTGCTAGGCAGATGAAGCAATTGATCATGTTTCCTTTCAAATTTGCCTTCTTGAAATACTTAGTGATTTTCTTTATTGTATCTCACTGTCAGGAGACTGAGTCAAGAGGATTGGTGAATTAATTAGCAATAAATTTCCAGGGAACACTTTGAAAAGAGACTACCAATTTCTAGAAAATGGTTTCTTTTTCCTGTGAACTTTAATAAATAAATACCAGCTCCAAAACCAAGAAGTTGAGCCCAGAGAGAAAATGGTTTTGTAAGTCATTGTTTGTTTTTTTTTAATTTTATAAAATAAAATTTCCTTGGAAAATCTTTTTAAAAATAATCAATGTGGAAATCTACTATATTTTAATAAAAGGTATATGACAATAGATGATTGTGTTATAAGAAGTTTTCAAAGATGTTACTTTACTAATTGTATTCTTTTTTTATAATGGATTATAAACTTTAATAAAAAGCAGTTGGGAACCAAGAAGCTTAAATAGTGATGACTCTTGCTTTTGATTAAAATGAAACCCAGGAGAATTTACAATTTTAAAGGAGCTTTAGTATGTTGAAGGTTCCCTAAAAGATAGGGGTATACTAACATTTCAAATGCACATCTAAGAGAAAATCGCATGCATACTTTTTAAAGCTTTTAAAATTTTTTTTTTTCTCCAATATGCTCCCTTGTCACAAATTTCCCTGTGAATGCTTCTAAAGAGTGCCATCTAGTGTCAGTTTTGGAATAATGATTTATGGGTTGGAACATGGGAAGTAATGGGCCCAGGAAATGTTTGACTCAAACATAAAAACATCATAATAATTGATGAAAGCCTTGGAGGAATAGTTTAAGCTCCAGATTGTGTGTGTGTGTGCATCTTTAAAATAACCAACGTGTGGACTCATCCACGCACTCATTTAACAAGTGCTTCTTTGTTATATACAAATAGAACAGGCCCTGTTTCAGGCGTAACAGTAGACAAAGCAAAATAGGCACTGTGATGGATAATTCTGACTGGGAGAGAAGGCAAATAATAAAATAAGTAGCATGTCATAATATTTGAAAGTGCGGGGAGAAAAATAAAGCCTAGAAGGGAGTGGCAATATTTTCTTTTTTCAGGAAGGGTGGGCTTGGGGTCTGCAGTATGAAAGAGTAGCCCGGGGCGGTCACCGTAAGGACTCGCCATTGTGTCAAGAAGTGGCAGGGTGAGGAGCGTTCTAGGTTCTGGAAAGACCAAGTGGGGAGGGTGGAAGTGGGGAGCACCTAGAGTTTCAGGTATTGACTGTGGTCTGCTGTGTGTGTGTGTGTGTGTGTGTGTGTGTGTGTGTGTGTATGTGCAGTGAGCACTAGAGTTAGTGAGATGAACTCAAGAGACAAAGGAGGAGGCTGAGATCAGGGAGATCTTTGCAGATCATTGCTGAAACTTTGGTTTCTCTAACAGTGGATGGGAGGAAGTGGAGGCTTTGAGCGGAGCAGTGGCATTTCTTCATTTTTAATAGGATCACCGACTGCTGTGTTAAAAATAGACTAACCGGGAAGTCGGTGGGAAGCAGAGTGAGGAGGTCATTGCTGTGATACTGAGGCCGAGGCTGTGGCTTTGATCGCAGTGGATGTGGTGGAGACGGTGTGAAATAACCAGATTCTGAATGTACATTAAAGATAGAATCAAAAATGCTGTTAGTGGACTGATTATGGGGACAAGAAAAATAAAGGTGATTAGTGCAGACTGTAAGAAAGCAGCAAGATATATGCTCATTTTAAAGTTACTAAGTATAAAACCACCCCTAAAACTTCACTGCGCAAGGTGGAGGGGATTTTTCTTTTGGAGTCCATTTCAGTCTTGATGGATAAGTTCTTGTAACATCTTTATGGTTCACAAATCCTTACTGATTTCTAGACTGAGCTTCTAAAATACTCATCTTTTTATCTTCTAAATTGCTATATTCTAAGGCCTCTAACCACATTATTTGTGCTTTAGGTGACTCAATGAAAGAAAATGAAAGGCATTAAGAAAAGTCTTACAGAAGAATATCTATACCTGGACTTTTCTCACCAAGCAGAAGGATGCATTCTTCCTCTTCATACATCTGTAACTTTATTTTTGTTATCATACTGTGACTGCAAAATCTTTAAAGTTTGCTTGGTCCTCACTGAAGAAGATACCGATACTTCACCACTAAGAGATGTGCTGTCCCAGGACACTGAAGTCCAGATTGTTTCAAGGCAAGAGCTTCCACCAATAGTCCAGAATTGCTGCTTACCTGCGGTAGTGGAACAGCCAGACAACTTCTGTAGAGCGGGACTTGCTGTTGTACTACGACACATAGCCCAGAAAGCATATGAAACAGACCCCTCAAAGAAGGAAATTCTGGAGCTTCTGGGTTTTAAAAAAACTTGTTTGAAAGCCTGTGCTGAAGTAAGTATAAAGTGTCTTTCTTTACTGTTACTTCAAACTACCAAGTAATAGTAATTCCTTTGGACAATTATTTTAACTTCCTGTTAGATATAAAATGTCACTTATTTTTAAAGAATCCATACTAGCCAATGAAACAATTGAAGTAGTCCTTCGTCTTGGTGAGTATTTAGTGTAACACTGAGAAATAAGAATTGAAGATTTAATTTATGAAGCTTAGAGACATTCTTAGAGGATGACTTCCTTTTAATGCTTTATTTACATTGAAGATTTTTAGAGGGAAGAAACGTTTACATATAAATAGGAGCTCAAAGAGCAATGCTTTGGAAGCTCTGCTTTATTCTTTTATTTTTAATTTTTGTGGAGGGTGGAATTGATTTTAAAGGCCTCGGGAAGAAATTATTTATTCAGCAAGAGGATACAGAAATGGAAAGCCTCCCTTGCCTACTATTTTTACTTCTGAAGCACTGTAACATGTTTCTTGATATATGGCATAAACGCTTAGCCCATGGATGCTTTAGCTTAAGACTCAAACTGCCCAAACCAGCCTTAATGCCCCGTAAAAGCGTTCTTTGTCTTCCTTTTCTTTGAGGTTGAAAGGCCTTTCGTTCTCATTTTGTCTTGCAGGTCAGCCAGTGGACCAGGCTGTGCGAGCTCACCATCCCTCTGGCTATTGAGAATTTCCTCAGGGAGTCTTTGGTGCAGACCCCAGCCATCCCCATGGAAATCCTGGAGCTGGAGAAGAAGCTGAGGGAGCCGGTAAGAGTGCACAATGACGACAAACTCCGCAGGCAGAAGCTGAAGCAGCAGACCAAGGGACAAGTGAAGGGCCAAGGGCAACCTCTGGAAGCCTCAGAAGAGTCGGATTATGCGTCTCAGAGCCTGGAACTGAAAGTGGCCTTCTCCAAACTCATGGTTCAGGAGGGGCAGGCTGCTAGCAGCAGGGAGCCTTCCCACATCCGGAAGGCCAAAGCCTCAGACCTTCCTCCCCTGGAGCATGTGTTTGCAGAAGGGCTTTTTTTCACCTTGGCGGATATCGTGCTCCTGCCCTGTGTCCACCACTTTCTGGTAAGGTTTTACTTGGAGTGCATACACTACCGTGTGTTTCTGTCAGTGAAATTGCTTAGGGTTGAATTCCAGGTCTACTTCTTACTTCTTACTTCTGGTAAAATTATTAATATCTATCTTCATTTTCTTTTCCACAAAGTAGAGATAATGCTACCTCTCTGCTGTAGTTTGCATCTTGAATATTCCTGGAAGACTCTTGTGTAGAAGGCTTGGGCCTCACTCAGCCTGTGTTGCAATCAGGAGGTGCGGGAACTTCTGGAATTGAGGTCACGGGGGCCTTGAAGGGGCTGTAGGGACATTGACCCCTTTTGCTTCTGGGTCACCACCAGGTGAGCAGGTTTCCTCCAACGTGTGCTCCTGCCATGGTGTTACTGTGCTCCCAGTTGACCGTGGACTGAAACCGTGAAACTGAACCATTTCCTTTATTACACTGATTTTTCTCAGATATTCTGTCATAGCGATGGAAAGCTGACTCTGATGTGTTCAGTGCAAGGAACAAAAGACATGATTATATGACTTTTAATTTTGAGTGGCTAAAATGTTAGCAATTTCTGTCTTCATTTCAATTGCTTTTGTGATTCCCTTCTAGTGTAAGAAGGCTCAGAATTAAAGAAAAAAACAACCCTAAAAACTAAAAAATATCGTGTCAGCAGTATTTTATAGTGACCTAAAAATACTTATTCCGTTTTGGTAAATATCAACCAGCCAGGTACTGTCCTCCTCCTATGTGTGCCTCAGTTCACTATATGATTAAAAGCTATTTTCTGCTATGGGAGGATGTAGATGGAAAGTTTTTTTCCTATTAGGGAGAGCTATCTGTATTTATCTCTCTATATATTTTATTCTATTTGGAGAATTAAAGAATAGGGTGAAAATAACACTAGCATGCTACAGCTAGCTTGCTACAGCCTTCCAGTTGATTTCCAAGAGCTGCATTTTTCTTGCCTTGACGCATTTCACCCTTTCTCTTACCGAGGAGTCAGGTATCACGTTTCATTCTTGTTGTGGCCCCTACCACTTCAGGCTTCTCTACTGCTAGATGAGAAAAGGCACACAGTGCCAATCTGTATATTTGGGGGTCCGTACTTCACTAATGAATTAGGCAGTGTGGATCAATTGCCATTTCTTAAAGCACCTTTTGTTTTCTTCAAAACTGAACACAAAACTGGCAAAATAATTTTAGAATTCAACAATGTGAAAAGGCGGGAGATTCAGGAACTGTTCAGAGGTCTGGTATCTTGTGTGTTCAGAGTCCACAGAGCCGAGTGGGAGAATACATCAGTGCACTGGGAGGTACTTGTTATCCGTGACTTCTCTGGAAGCGGCTTGTTTCTAACTTGATAAAAATTGAGTCAGAGGGGCACATCTGCTCATTCTCTGGAGAATCTTATTGAAAACCTTTGGTATTTGTCAGGGACTATGTATGTGAACAAGACAGATAAGGTCCCAGCACTCACAGAGTTAATATTCTAGTAGAAGAAGATAGAAATAAACCAGTAAATATTTACCTACAATAATGTAAGTGATAAGAAAAAATAAGCGACGGAAGAGACCTGAGTATTTGATTGAAACACAACAAAGCAGATTTAAAAGACAGATGTATACCTACATGATTTTAGGTCATCTACATGGCCATGTTTATCCTATTTTATTTTAGCTGACTTTCAATGCCACTTATCTCTTTCGAGGTAATAGAAGCCAAAGTTTTCCTAATAGACAGGCTTTCTTCCTGAACCGCCTCGAGTCAGGTAAGTCATCTCCTGAACACCCCTGATTAATCTGGGACAGTGGCACTGCCAGGACTGTGCTATGAACAAGTTTCGTTTCCATCTCCATTTAAAATAAGGGAAACTTGTATACTTAGCCTTTTCTGTGCTTTTTGACATTTTATATGTAAATTAATTCTTAAAATAGTTTCCTTTAGTCCTTTGTATTCTTCCTGGATCCACACATTTCGTTTCAGGAATTTATCTTTCTTTGCCAAAGCTTTGAAGTTGTTCTGTAAGTCATTCTGGGAAATGCAGCCATCATTGTAGCTCATGTAGTGGCTCTGCTGCCAAGCCTTTGTGCTTGTGTTCGCACCACACTGAGGTGAGCAGAGTGCCAGCCCAGAGGATCAGAGTCAGGATCAGATGGTGATCATAATGAAGGTTCTAGTTTGGGATCAGAAGCTCAAACCTGAAACCAGGTTCAGGGCCACCACCAGCCGTAGGAATAAGGTCCTGGACAGGAAAGAGCAGAAAGCATTTGCTAAGGTAAGGTTTGGATTTTCAGAGGTCAAAATGAGAAGGACTAGGGAAAATACCCAGTTCTGCTAAGTCCAGTGAGGCCGGAGGTGCAAAGTGGTATGAGATTGGGTGGCTGAGCTGTTGTGTGTGAACCTGTTACACATTTTCAGTAGGTTTGCACAGCTAATCCCTGATGGCTCAGAACTCCCCTGAGCCGTCTGGCTGGTAGTAGAGTGGCCTGGTAGATTGATCAAAATTGGTGATCTGTTATGCCAAGTAAAACCTAGGTTTTTCTTTTGTTCTCTTTCCTTTTTCTGTTTTTTTTTTTTTTTTTTTTTTTTCCTGTGCTTGGAATTGATTGAACCCAGAGCCTTGCACATGCCAGCCAAAGACTCTTCCACTGAGCTACACCTGTACCTGTACTTAGGAAATAACTACACAATGGATACTCTGATATTTTCTACTTCTCTTTCTAAAAAATCCACTGTGGAGAACAGGGAATATAAGTCAGTGTAGAATGGTAGCCTAGCTTGTGCCCCAGGACCACAAAAATGAATGAATTCCTACGATGTCAATTTCTCAACCTCCTAATGGGCTATATACAGCAATTTGAAAAACATGAATTTAGAAGATTGTCTGAAGATGTAAATAAACTTCTGATTATTTGTGCACTCACTTAACAGAGTATTATTTGCAAGGCTGTGTTTTAAGTGTTTGGAGCATTCCCAGACAGTAGATCTTGTATAACTTCTGTCCTTTTCCTCAACTGCTTCTGCTTAAAGTCCAGTTAAAATACAGACAAACCTGTGTGTGTATAAAGTTTTCAAGAATCTTTTGCCCTTTACAGTTCAAGCTGTCATGCCAGTTTCTAGATGTATTTGTCAATATTTTCTGTGGCTTGACCTTTTTACTTATCTGTTTGTTCCTACGCGTAAGTCTTAGTCTGTTTGTGACATTAAAACAATTTCTATGAGGGTCAGGGATTTAGTGCAGAAATTCTGCCACCTGCCTTGCAAGCGCAGGGTCCCAAGTTTGATCCCCAGTACAAAAAAAAAAAAAATGGTTTCTACAGAAACAAATTCAGTGCCTCTCAAAGAACCAAGGACACTTAATTTTGAAAGAAACTGGTTTGCCTGTAGTGCTAGGGAAAAAGCATCTGACCAAAAGAAAACATAAAGAAGTGATTTTTCATCAGGAATAATGGCTTCAACATTTTCCGATTTAATAAAGGAAAACCTGGTTTAGGGGCTGCTTTATGACAGGCATCCCCGAATAGCGCTGCAGTTGTCCCTGTTATCAGTGGAGGGTTTGTTCCAAGGCTGGGTGGGTGCCTGCAGCCACAGACAGTACTAAAACCCATCTGCACAGTCTCTGAATATGTGCACATGCACAATTTAGTGCCTTTCTGCCTTAACTAAACGCTTGGGCCTTCTTGCCATATCCAAACGGGGTGAGACAGCAAAACCAGCACAAGTTTTCTTTTCCTTCTCAATTTCACAAACACAATTTATTCTTAGATCTCTGCAGCCTTGGTGCGCAATTTTTTGTTGTTGTTGTAATTAGGTCTAGAACCTTCACTTTTCACCAGAAGGAAGCCCTGACAGCCTCTCTCTGGAATGCTCAGTTGCCAGCACCACCACTCTTATGCCTCTAGTAAGATAAGGGTCACTTTGATCGTAAGCACTGGAGATCCAGGAACCAGATGGCTACCAAATATTGGAGAAGACGGTGGAGCATGTGGCATGGATACGATGGTCAGGGGTGATTGGAATGAGACGATGAGATTACATCTCAATTCTCAATAGTTATGAACTGTTTGTACAGCTTTCCATAATATTTAGGATCATCACTGACTCGGTAACTGAAGCCTTGGAAAGCAAAGCCGTGGATTGGTGGAGGGAGGCTACTGTAGTTATCTTTTTAGTTCTAAATATTTAAAATTTTACTTTTGTTATTTTATTTTATTTTTATTTTTTGGTACCAGGGATTGAACTCGGGTCTTTGCACTTGCAAGGCAGGCCACCGAACCGCTGAGCTAAATCCCCGGCCCTACTTTTGTTATTTTACATTATTAAAATGTTCTCATCTTACCCCAAGTGTCATTTTAATCAATTTTCAGTCATTCTGAATGGTGCTTCTTACATTATTTCAAGTCCACATTGTTTAGATTCTATATTATAGTTCATATATTCAGAGGAAAGAAAACTTCACGTAAAAAATGGGAGTTAGATTCCTATTAGAAGTGCAAACTCTACTCCATATTTCTCCAGTGAATTGCAAAATTTTCATTGAGACTCTTCAAAATATATCAAGATTATTATAAGCTATAGGCCTTGAAATACGATAATTGTAAAATGTGACATAATTTGCTTTATTTCAACATTTCAGCTTTTTAAATTCTTCATGAACAAGTTCAGCTAATTTTATAAGTATATATTAAATGTGTTTTTGATGTAGTACTGTCTGTTTAGTTCTTTATATTCTGTATGTTAAGAACCTATCAAATGGGGGCCAGAAACAGTGGAATGTGCTCTTCTTGGTCATGAATTACAGATTTGAAGGAAGTTGATTGAAAAGTAATGCTTGAAGACAGTTGAGAATCATCGACCAAGCTGGGTGTGGCAATGCAGGCCTATGGTGGTGCTGTACTCTGGGAGGCTGAAGCAGAAAGATTGCAAGTTCGAGCCCTGCCCAAGAAATTTGGTTATTTTGTGAGACCCTGCCTCAAAAAAAAAGAAATTATCTGCCAGTGAAAGGTTAACAAGTGGAGTCAAGACGTACAGGTTTCCAAAATGCTTTTCAGTTGTAGCCCTTAATACAGACATTTACAAATGTCTTCATTTATATGACTCTCCTTGGAATTGTCTGTTATAGTCTCATTTCTCTATTGACTGTTGGTTTGTACCATTGTGCAGATGAGCCCCAGTTTACCTACTGAATATCATCTGGGTTCCTTCCCAGTGTGAGCAATTCTGATTAAAGTTGTTATAAACCGTGGATAAGTTTTCAGCTCTTTGGAGTGTGAATATGGGGTTGCATAGTAAGAGTATGTGGAGTTTTGTAAGAAACTGCCAAACTGTCTTCCAAAATGGTTGTACCAGGTTGCAGTTCTGTTCCACATCCTTGCTATCATTTGGCATTGTTAGTGTTTTGGATTTTCATTGTTCTAAGCAGCATGTAGTAGCATCTCCTTGTTTCAATTCTCTATGACATTTGATGGTTAGCATTTTGTCACATGTAGCGCTGCCACCTATATGTTTTTCTGAGTGTTTATTCAGATCTTTTGTCTACTTGTCAACTGGACTACTTCTTTCCTTGTTGGGTTGATCCGAAGTTTATATTATGAAGTGAATTATACACAACTGGCAAATAAGCACATCAACAAGTATCATTAATCATAGAGAAATGCAGACGAAATCACAATGAGGTACTACTACATAGCCATAAAAATGGCCAAAATAAAAGTGAAAGCAACAAATGTTGACAAGATACAGAGAAACTGGAGTCTGTCCATTGCCACTGAGAATGTAAGACTTACGGTATGGCCTCAATGGGTAGTTTCTTTGGAAGTTAAACATACACTTTCCATACAACCTAGCAGTTTGACTCTGAAATATGAGAAACACTTCCACATAAACACAGGTATATGAATATGTGTGGCAACCTTATTCTTTATAGCTAAAAGCCAGAAACATGCGAGTGTCCATCCACTGGTAAATGGATAAGCAAAATACAATGTATCTTTCCAGTAACTTTCACATGTAATGAAAAGGAACTACTGATAAATACAACTTCAAGGATGAACGGCAAAAACAATGTCGAGTAAGATAGATACATTTATTTTATCATTCCACTTATAAAAATTATAGAAAAGATAAAATTTTGACATAGAGAACAGATTACTGGTTGCCTGCAACTGACCATGTAAACAGAGATCCACTGTGAATGATCACGGAGAGACTTTTGGGGTGACCTAGTGACAGGAAACTGCACTGTGGTGGTAGTTGCACAGTCCTGTAACTTCACTAACTACTCTGAAATGGCGTCTATTTTATACTATGTAGCCACTGAAATGTAGCTGTTTTCAACAAACAAAACTGTAATTGTGTGTTTTATTCCTTTTCCTTCCCAGGTCGTTATCTGCAAGAAATTTTCTGAGAAGTTGACAGAGTTTCCTTTGTTAGCCTCTTGGTACCAGAGGATTCAGGAAGTGCCCAGAGTGCAAACAGCTGCTTCTAAGTGTGGGATCCAGTTTCTCCAGTTACCAGAGCTGTCAGCCACCCCCAATGAACGCTGTCCACACTTAAGTGAAGCCCCTGGTGGAGAGGAGCAGAATGATCCTTTATTTACTGGAGGACCAAGACCAACTATGACCAAGTTATTGGTACTTAAATTGCTTTATTAAAATGTTTTTTTGAAAACTTGCATGTGATAATGTGTCTGAGCATCCTACCCCAATGAGCAATCATTTTTTGACACAATTTTGTTGTAAATTTCATTCATGGCTGTCTTACATTGCTTTGACTAATTATATTCCTGATAGTCTTTTGCATTTCAGTAAAATATAGTAAATTGAAGAGTTTTACTAGTGTGGGCATTTGGAGCCAAGTAAATCATGATATATACTTTTATTTTTCTTAAAATATTTTTATGTTCAGGACATGGACCAGACCAATGTAATATATCTGGTCAAGTGTAGTGTTTCAATATGACATTTTTCTGTGACAAGGTTTTGGTTTCAGTCTTTTTAAGCTTGAAATGATGATTTGAAGTTTAAGAAAAATAGAGATAACTATTTTTATTTTCTAATGTTTTATCTAAATGAGTTTGAAATTCTTTGAATTTTATTTTTCTATGTGAACTTAATATATTTGCTATTAATAAGAACAATGAAACAATTTGTTTCTTATAATACTAAATATAAAATTCCACCAATAGGCTTTCTTTTCCCTATAATTTGAAACAGTCTGCAAAAATATTTTGCTTTTGCTGGGCATGGTGGCACACACCTGTAATACCAACACTCGGGAGGCTGAGGCAGGAAGATTGCTGTGAGTTCGAGACCAGTGAATTCCAGGTCAATCTCAACTACATAGTGAGATCCTGTCTCAAAAAAACAAAAATGTTTTGTTTTTATTATGTTATTTGAAGATTACTTAAATAAAGGAGAATTCATGAAATGATTGCATATTCATCCGAATTGCTCAGGAAAAATATGTATTATTTTCCTCTTTGCGCTAGGAAGTGTTTGAGTTCTATAGTGACAGGAAGTTTACTGGCTTAGAAATGTGCTAGGACACTTTAGCAGTGACACCAACTCAACTTTAGCTGAGCCCTCACCCAGTGGCATGCACGCATAAGGTTGGCTTTCAGCAGTCCCAAGGCATGTCTGGATGCTGGTGAGTCTCGGTCAGTGGATGCACTGCGGGGGACTTTGATTTTCCTCCTGAGGGACAAAAGGCTTCTCTGGAGGATGATGCAATGTTCGGGATTATATGGGGGGTGTGTGGATAACTGAATATTATGAAAACTGCTGAAATCCATGCTTTAGAAGAGTAAACGTTGAGATATGGAAGTAGTATCTCAACATAGTTGTATTTCATAAAAGACCCTATGTAGAAGTGAGGGACAGGAAGGCCAGGGTACTAAAGCAGAGTGAAGGAGACGGAAGAGGGCAGGTGATGTCAGAGAGATACATTTATCTTTGCAGAGGCGAAGGAGTGCTCTGGACTTTTAGATCTATGGCTGTGTCTCTGGCCTTAACAAAAGGATCTTCCTACTATTGCCTTTGGGACTTAAAACTCAGCTAGTTTCATAAAGAAAAGTAATCTTATTAACTTTGCTGAGGGATTAATCCTGATTTTCCTTCTTTTTTCTTTCTTTATGTTTGTTTTGAGATAGGGATCTCCTTTTGTTGTTCAGGCTGGCCTCAAACCCATACATCCAGGCAGTCCTCCTGCTTCAGCCTTCTCTGTGCCGGGACTATAACTGACTGACTCTTTTGAGTAGGTTATTTCTACACATAAAAATACCAGAACCAGGCTTATCCATCCAGGGGGACCCAGACAGAAAATGTACTGGGAGAGGTCACCGAATCCACATGTATGGTATCTCACTATGTATGGATCAAACAAGTAAATGCGTGACTTCTAACATAGGAAAAGAGCCAAAAACTTTGTAATGCATTGAAAAGCGGTCCTCCTTAAGAATGTTGGGATCCATTTGTTAAATGAGAGGAATCTTTTCCTAGAGACATTAGTGTCACCGATGGCCTGCTGATGGGGCAGGCTTTCGGTTCAGCAAGTACACGTATAGGCTGTGGCAGTTTTCAGTTGTGTGTAGATGGACCTTGATGCACACGTAGAGTCCATTTTTTATAATCTTTGTGTGGGTTATTTCTATGAAGTTTTATCCTCTGGTGACTTTATGATACCAGTGTATTCTAGATGATGCCCCACTGCTTCTCTGTGCTTTCAGGGAATAATTTTAAGCAGCATTACTTTCTACTGTCTCAATATAGAAAAAGTATGGTATCAAAAACCCCAGCATATTGCTTTTTTTCATGTAATTGAATATTTGGGGCAATAACTGATGATTTTTTACTATTAATGCCCCTTCATAAGATAGAAAATAGAAATTTGGCCTTCTAAACAAAACATGATTTTTATTAATTCATTAATTTGGAAAGAGCCTATTTTCTTTCCTAGGAAAAAGGCATTGAAGTGGTGTTTTCTCCCCACCCCTGCCCTACGTGGACCCTTGACTGGAATGGTCTTCCTGCTGCAGTGAGCCCAAAGGAAGGTGCGTTTTTCTTTAAGTTTTACTTAAAATCAGATCCCTCTTCCAATTATCTAATTCTTTCTTTGGCTGTATGTAATATTCTAATGACAGTAACCATTGAGTTTTCATTTTTTTACAAAAAACTTCATATACGCATACTTTAATTCAATATTTTCCACATTTTCCTACATTCACTTCATTTATTCTTTATTTTCTGACATATTTTAAAATAAATCCCAAGTAATATGTCATATTTTAGCATACAGTTAAAATTATATCTTAAACTATAACAGTGCCATTATCACACCTAATAAAAATTAACAAAACGTTTGTGGTCATCTAATAGTCCATAATCCAATTTCCCTAACTTAAAATATTGCTTAAAATATATTTTTATTGTTGGACATTTAATTAAATAATTATATTTTATTACTAGAAATTCTTTTTAGTTTGTTTTTGAGAATCTTTTCTTTGCTGCTGCTTTGGTTTCCTATTTTCTATGAGTTTTATAGTCTGTTTATTTTGTTTTTTCTGCTGACTTTACCTCTGGCCTCTTATTTCCATGTGAATTTTGTAATTTTAGACTGTGACTTCAGTTTTGGGTTACCTCAATTTGTAAGGAGACTTGTGGGGTTTGGGGTGGGGTTAAATCCGTGCAGCAAATGTTTGTATTTGCTTTTGGCAGGCTCTCAGAGTATTAGAACTTAAGACCATTTTTGCAGAGGTTTTTCAGCTTCAAAGCTGTTGAACCTTTCTATGTGGAGCTGAGATTTAAATAGATATGTTATTTTTTATCATCTTCCTTTTTTGTTGGATAGGACTTTTTCTGAGTTTTCTCAGAGGGAATATTATTTTTTGAGTCTTTTACTTTTATGTGGTAATGTTCACCCTGACTCTCTCTGTGCTAAGCCTCCATATCTAGCCTGACTTCCTTGTCTTGTGGGTCGAGGTCCTTAACCATTATCCTCAGGGCGGTTGTGATATCAGCTCAAGATTACAGCTATTTTGAACTCCTCTTCCAATTTCTCACCCCTTACCCTGTTTTAAGACCCAGTGACACTGGAGATGTGGCCCCGTGGTAGAGTGCTCACCTCGCATGTGTAAGGGCCTCATATCCAAAGGATTGTTGTGTGTTTTAAATACCATTTAATGTGCTTTGTAGATGGAAATTTTTTTAGAAGAGCTCAAAGATCCATTTCTTTATTCACTACTTTTTAGTTTTATATTAGCTACATATGACTTTTGATTTTCAAACCTTTTTTTACATTCTACTCTTCTGTGATTCTAATTAATGTTATCTGTATCTCGAATCAGTTCTACTTTGTTAATCAGGGCAATAATGTAGGGGTGATTGTATAGCTCAGTGGTAGTGTCTGCTTAGTGAGGACCTGGGCTTGATCACCACACTGCGGGGGGGGGGATATTTTATTTTGGTGAATTAATTTAAAGTATTTGTTTTTATGATACTTGCAAATGGATTTTTGGGTTTTTTTTTTAATTTACAATGACTTTATTTTCATTTTTACCTTTTCTCATATTTTTCTTTTCCCTTCTTTCCCCTCCCCCTCCCACTTCCCCTTCTCCTTTAGACCTTTACTTCCTATTTCACATTATAAATTATACATTTGGATCCTTATTTACACTTTTAGCTTTTCACACCAGAGAAATTATTCAGTATTTACATATGTGTGTGCTATTTATTTCACTTGAGTATGGCCTCAGTGTGCATCTACTTAGCTATAAATGTCTCTAGTTTCTCATTCTTTATGGCTGAGTAACTCCCTTTTTTTACATATGTGTGTGCTATTTATTTCACTTGAGTATGGCCTCAGTGTGCATCTACTTAGCTATAAATGTCTCTAGTTTCTCATTCTTTATGGCTGAGTAGTACTCCATTTTAGAAAAAAAAAAACCCAACATCTTTATCCAGTCTTCAGCTGATGGGCAATTGGGCTGTTTCCAAGTTTTAGCTATTACAAACTGCCGCTATGGACATGGGTGCACATGTTATCGCTGTGGTTTAATTCTTTTGGGAAGATATCTGTCAGGGGAATAGCTGGGTCAAATGGGACCTCTAATCCTAGTTCTTTGAGGTATCTCCATACTGATTTCCACAGTGGTTGCACCAGTCTGCACTCCTACCTGCAGTGGAGCAGAGTTCCTTTCTCCCCACAGCCCTTCCAGAATTTGTTATTGGTTGATTTCATGATAGCAGCCATTCTTTCTGGGATGAGGTAGAATTTCAGTGTTGATTTCATTTGCATCTCTCAAATGACCCGTGATGTTGAATATTTTTCATATGTTTATTTGCTGTGCAAATGGGGTTTTTATACAGGGTGAGATAGATTCTGAAAAGGTTGAAGTTTTAGTTTCCTAAATTAAAAACTGTCACACTTTCAGGTTGGGGAGTACAATTCATTGGTAGAGCACAAACTCAAGAGGGGCGAGGCCCTGCATTGGATCCCAACACCAAAAGAATAAAATGAAATAAAAATTGGGCTTTCATTCCAATTGATACTTACCAAGAAATGAAAACAAGTGCTTGCTTCAGCAGCACATATACTAAAAAAGAAATTAAAGAATTTTCTAAATGCTACACGTTTTGTTTTACAGTGTCATCTCAACAGAGGTGTGTATGTGTCTATAGATCTAGGAAGTAGATGTTTACACACAATCAGACAACCACACACATAGTACCCACTGGTGTGTCTATGGCTGTTATCTGTGTGCACTGAAAATCATTAGTTTATACTGATACTTCAATGCCATCTCAACCTCACAAGATTCATCTGCTTTTCCCAGATTACCTATATCTGCCTTTTCCAATAGAAAAAAATCATAGCTCCCCAAATCATCATTCTATTTGCTCATTTTTTCAGTTCTGCAGTGTATGAATAGCAGTTTCAGTATTGCTATCACCATGTCTTATGTGAAAAATGTACTTACTAAGTTGAATTCCAGATACTTATTTTCATCTTTGAACTCAGGACATGTCATGAAAGTTCTCATGCAGTCATTGTGATCAAGTGTTTATATACAAGATGAATTATATAAAAAATATGGAACGAAGGACTTAATATTAATCATATCTCCTAATAAAGAGCCTTGGCCTTGAGTTCAAACATTCAACCAAGAGCCTCCTACTATAATAAGACATCCAGCCAATAACCCTATTACTATTTGCCATCAAATATCTATCTGTGTGGTTTCCTACTCTGTGAGATAAACTAGATACTGTTAGAGCTTGAAAATTCCTTTTCTTGTGACCAGAGTCACCCTGTATTCTGATCTTTTGCATCTTTATCTTCTGAGTAGAAAGAGGGAACAGATGTAGTCTTTTACCCTACAACCTGGAACAGAGCTGGCTTCCTTCACTCCCCTCACGCACTGTGCGTCCCTATGGCCCCTCTGCTGTCCAGTGGTTGGGGGCGCTCCTGTAGTGCAAATTGATGTTAGCTTAGGATAACCATATCGATCACATACAGAGAGGAGAGAGCCAGAAGCATGACCTTTTAGGTGATGTTCCAGTTAAAATATTTTTTCTTCCATTGAATGTTTCACTTATAAAATATAGCCCACATAGATATGCCTGAGGCCATGGTTTTGCTTTGCAACCACATGAGTATACCATCTCCCCAGAAGAGTAGCGTAGGAATAGTGCACAAAAGCCATAAATACTGCCTCTATTTACCTTCACCCTTTGCTACTGAGTTCTGAGTATTTTTTTCATTTGAAGTAAAAGATAAAAATATTATGCCAGTTTGTACCAGAAGCAGATAAGAAATAAGATCTCTCTTTAGAAGTTTTTAAACTGAGTAGATGCCATTGCTTGGGAGAGAAATATAAATTCTTAGAACATGGATCATGAACTATACATTCATACTCCTTTTATATAGATCACTGACTTATGGTTCTAATATTATAATTAATCATGAGAGATTATAGAAAATCGCCACCACTCTGAGCCAAATTTGAGTCCTTTTTATTTATTGTCAGCTGGCATTTGAGAGTGGTTCACACCCAGAAATCTCTGGACAAGGAAAAGTGGCTTAGAAGTGGCTTGCAGGGTCCTTTTAAGCAGCTCTTCTAATTGGGAAGAGCACAGGGAAGGGGGGAACCAAGCACAGTTTCACAGGAGCAGAACTTTGCTAAGTTAGTGGGGGTCAGGGGAAGTTTCACACAGTTTAGTTGAAACAAAATATCACACAGGTGCAAGTAGGCTATTTACAAGGTGACATATAGTTGCAATTGCTCTACCAAATGGGAAGGTATGAAAGTAACATATTGTTGCAGACTGTAGGATGAGCGATCTGTCATACATTAATTTAGGGGACTCCCAAGGTGGGAAATTGGAGGTGACTGCCCAGAATCACTGGACTTTACACAAATGGAATCAGGTTGGCTGTCACACCAAATGAATTATGATTTTTCAATCCTGGCATCTTGACCTCTTTTAGTTGCGAGATACTTTTCATCATCCTGTACATAGAGTAATTATAAATGTCCAAAGTATTAAATTTGAAAGCTATCCTAATGAGGATTGGGTATGTATTACCTTTTTGCCCACTTATTTTCTGTAAAGTATTTGAGATCAAAAGGAATGAATTGATCATTGGCACTGGGAAAAAATAAAGTTAAATACTGAGATATGACTAGTAAAATTGGCATAGTATGAAGTCGATGCCTTGCTCCCTAGCCTCTTTGTTCCATGCCTCTCCAGACCAACAGGACCACAGAACTCTTTTGATTCTGGCAGAAAAGAGGTGGGTGGGCAAGGGCAGAGTGTGTGTGGAGCTCTCTGGAGATGGGTAGAGCTGAGGTGGAGAATGGAAGGTTTAAAGGGCTCTTTCCCTTACTGGTAATTCTTATCCATGTTCTTAACAACCCTTGGGGATATGGAAAGGTGGGGGAGCATTGCTTACTGCTATTCTTGTCAGAGGCCTCAGGTGCTGAAAGTTCATCAGAATAAAGAATTGTACTGCCCACCAGTATTGGTTATACTCTCCGTCGAAGAATTCAAA